CAGCAGGCTTTGCTTGCCTTTTTGGCCTGGTCGGGCTCTTCTTGTTGCCCATGGTCATGGACTGGTGGAGGCAAGCCCCCCACCTTCCTTGCCTTGCGCCCAAGGAGCAGAGAGGGCTGCGGGGCTGACTCCTCCTCAGACCAGCAGGCTCCGGTGGTGGCTGCTCCTGCTTCTGCTGCTGCTGCTCCGCCGCTGCCGGGCTCCTGCTCCAGACTAGGCAGCGCAGGGAGCGCGGTCCCACTCTTCTCTCCTCGCCTCCTCTGCCTTCCCTCTTTTTTTCCCTTCCCTTCCTTCTCGCTCTCTTCCAAGCCAGGCTCAAGCAGGCGGAGCTCAGGGCCCTCGGCGGCCAATCCCGGCCGTCTGGCCTTGGGCTCTGTTGGGGCGACACACACCACACACACGGTGGAGGAAAGCAGTGGCGGGCTCAGGCAGGCAAAAAAGAGAGATAAGGAGAAATGGCTTCCTCAACAAGGAGAGCAAATGGGAACGTTGCTCCTTCCCGCTTTTGCAATAGCTGATCGGCGGTTTCAAAATGGCCCCCCGCTGTTTTGCCTCGCTTAAGAGGCACCGAAAATGGCCGCCCCTGTGGAGGATCTTCGTTTAAGGTTAGTTTTGAAGCCCATAGGAACACATTAAACACGTTTTAATGCATTTCTATGGGCTTTTAAAAATCGCTTAACAATTAAATCACTTAGCGACGGTTTTTCTGGAACGGATTAACGTCATTAAGTGAGGCACCACTGTACAAGGATATGTATTGTATATCTCGAGTGCTTGTCTTCTAATTTGGTTCCTTGGTTCAATGTAGATATGTAAATCTTTCATGCATTCCATTCACGTTTAACAGTTTTATTCTTCTTTCAGTCTCCTTAATCTCTGTTCCTTGAAAAACCAAGACCATTTGCTCAAACTGACAGTTTCCAGTTTAGACTACAGCAGAGATGGATTAGCAAGAGTCATCCTTTCCAAAATTCTAACTGCATCAACAGATGTAAGTGTCAGGCATGTTTCTGAACATTTACATTTAGGATGTTGTACTCTTAACATATAAATGTAGAAGGTTTTGTTACCTTTTCATGAGTTGTGTAATGATTAGAATTTTCCCTGCTTTTGTCCTGTAAGTACTGGTTGAAATTAGGCCAATCACTCTCAAACTGCTCTGCCTCACAGGATTGTTTGGAAGGTAAATAGAGAGGTGGGAGTGATTTAAGAAAATAATACCTTGCACATAAAAGTAAATAGGACCTCCATGTCTGTTTTATAGATTAATGTTTAAGTGCTATTCTGTGAAACATACTTCCTCATTATAATTTGATTATACTTCAAACTTTTTGTTACTTCAGAATATCAATATGTGACATAATTCCTCCTAACTTCTTGTGACTGCTGCTTATTCTTTGGATATAGCATTAGTGCAGATGATATGTTAATTTTACTCATATAAAAATGATGCATAACATGACAAATATCCAGGTATTGTCTATGGAAAATATGATTCTCTACCACGTTTCACTCCCAGCCTTTACATTAATCCCATGCTTTTTTTGTAGAGCTGTAGGTTGTATGCTACAAAACATCTGCGGGTACTCCTGAGGGCCAATGTGGAGTTCTTCAGTAACTGGGGAATTGAGTTACTAGTCACTCAACTTCATGACAAGAATAAAGCCATTTCTTCTGAAGCACTTGATATCCTTGATGAGGCATGTGAAGACAAGGTATGAATCCTTTATTTTTTGTTTTCCTTAATTCTATGCGGTCATATATCAGTTAATTAAGAAGCAAACATAGCTTACTTCCTTGCCATGTTTGTTTCTGCTTGGTAAAGCAAAATGTGGATATTACTTATACAATTGATTCTAAAGTGCTATGATGACATGGCCCAAATGCAGGAAGAGTGAATGCTAGGAAGAAACTTAGTGAAGTCAAAATCATTGTTTATGTATCTACATTTTTCAAGGATAGACAATATCAGAATAAGAATATAAATACAAATATCTAAGAAACATAGTTAAATGTCAGTGGTTTGTCCATGTTGAAATTACTTTATGTAAAGAAATGTACAAATTTTCTATTAAGTTGGTTGTTGCTTACAAAGATTTCTAGTGTATTATTGATGTCTAAGTTATCTTGTTCTAAAGGATACATTCCTCCACCCCACCCCAATCTCCTTCAGGCAAATCTTCATGCTCTCATTCAAATGAAACCAGCATTGTCACATCTTGGAGACAAGGGTCTGCTTCTCCTCTTAAGGTAAACGTACAAGTTAATTAATTTGCATTTTTATATTAATGGTGATATCTGTAAATGGTGTGATCATATATATACATATATATGTATTTTTCAGATTCTTGTCAATTCCAAAAGGATTTTCATATCTAAACGAACGAGGCTACGTGACAAAACAAATGGAGAAATGGCAGAAGGTACTTTTCAACAAAACCAGATAGTTTTCAGAAATTCAGTATATATGTGTGTGTGTTTTGTTTTGTTTTTGTTACCCTGCTAGTTTGCTTAACTGAAGCTAACCATTCATGTTTTCTGGCAGTAATCCAAAAAAAGTCTGAAAGAACCTATAAAAACTATCCAAAAAGGCAGAGGCAAAGCCATCAGAAATCCAGTCTACTCCAAAAGCAGAAAACAGTACAACCAACATAAAAAAATGTCCTAAACTCATCCCAGTATACACCTTAACAGAATAAATGCATAATAAATTAACCAAAGAACAATGTTTGAAAGAGCAGTGAAGCACAGAAAATATGCAGCCACATTCACACAGGGAAAAAAATAGCAAAATACACATTCCCCATACAACCCCAAAAAAAAAAAAAAAAAAAAAAAAAAGGCTAGTAAGCGAAGAAAGATTGGTGGGGATACAATTACCACACACACACACACCAAAATGATTAGGATATGGGGGGATTTCTCTCCTGCCAATAAATGATTAAGATATGGGGGGATTTCTCTCCTGCCAATAATTTGATGCCATATCTTTTCTTTGAGTTGAGTGATGCAGCACGCAGGCAGCAGAAATTATTGAAGGAAGAACAGGCAGCAGAAATTATTGAAGGAAGAAAAGGATCTGTGAGCATGTTGGCACAGGAAGCAACAGCAAAAATAATCCAAAGAAACCGAAAAATATCTCCCCCAAAAATCAAGGAAAAAAAAAAGAGAAAGGATCAAAGATCAACACTCAGTCAGGCTGCAAAAGATGGAGGGAGGGTGCAAACACCAGGAGCTCTCACACCCATAGGGAATAAATGAAACAAAGGCAGAACACAACAATCCAGGCCTTTTTACAGATTAAAAATTCCTGCCCCATCCCAAGTATTCTTATTGGTTGTTGACAGCACCCATCAGAAGGGTGTTGTGGGGCGAAATCCTTGAATGAATTGGCACAGAAAGGGCAAAAGAAGCAAAACAAAAAGCAAAGTGTGCTGATTATGTACCACCCATAGAGCTTAAAGCACTCTCTGGGCAGTTTACAATTTAGATTGCAGGCTACACATTGTGCCGAGCCCTGTGAACTGAGTGCTCAGTTTACTGACCTTGGAAGGGTGGATGGCTGAATCAACCTTGAGCTGACTATTTGAGCCCTTTGGGATTGAATTCAGGTCATGAGCAAAGTTTTGGCTACAGTACTTCAACCGCTGTGCCACAAGGCTCTTTAAGATAGTTTAAACATCAAAAGGAAACAAGAAAGAACAAAAAATGTTCATGTTCTCTTTCATGAATATTCATCATCCATGTTTTATAAGTTCCATTTCCGAAATCAATGAAACAATACAAAACCAAAAAGAAGAGCCTCTTTATTGTGTGGAGTTTTTGTTTATTTGTTTCATTAAAACATGAAATCCCCATCCCTAGTTGTGAATACCAGTTGTAGATGTAAGTTGGAAGGAACACTCCTTTTGTGATGTTTTAATCTTTTCAAGTTAAGTACACCGTAAGTGCTTGACAGGATAGTGTCTCATTTCTAAAAGTTCTAAGATAGTTTGTGTTTCAGAGGTGGAAATTTTTCCATCATGCTATACTCAGTTGTGTTAATGGGCCAAAATCCTGTTGGTGTTCAAGGAGGGATTGTGTAAGATGCCATAGCAAATTGATTAGCCATTGTTAGCTACGGCAACTTTGACAGACCCTCCACAAACGCCAACAGGATTTTGTAAATTGTTTGTAAACTTGCATTCCTAAAATTTTATCCTCTAGTCTAGATAGTGAGCCTTAAAAACTTTAAGGTCTGCCCCCTCATTAAATGTTTCAGTCTTTTAAAAGTGACATAGGGACTGATTACTCACAGATTTGTCAAAATATGAGAATTTGAAGGTTCCTGGATATTCAGTTGTCTTCTTTTGATCCATAATGAGGTGTTGATTTTGTGCGTCCCACGTTGTGGACTCCTGGCTTTTGGAAGACCTAATGTTAAATAATTTTGCGCTTTGAAAGATACCGTCTGGGCCAAAAATAGAAGAGCATTTTCTTTGGCCTGCTTGACATGACACCTAAATCCCTCCGCTCACTGAATGAAGGTGGACATTCATTCTGTCATGGAAAAAAGTTTCAGAAGTGTGGTAGAAAACAAATTTACAATTAACAGTCACGTTTCTTAGGTTTCTAGTGTAGCAGCACTTATCTGTAAGATTTCGAGGCAAACTTTGGTCAGAGCACGGTCTCTGCATCCTAGAGAGCTGTAGGAGGAAAGGAAGAAAATCCAGCAGTATAACCTATGCCATTTAAGGTGGATTACATCATCAGCTACAGATTTTATTTATTTGTTTATTTATTTATTTGCAATCACAAATTTTTGATTCTTGCCTCTAGGTCCTGAGGTTCCCAGAGGATCTCTTTTATCATGGGGAAGCCACTGGGAACTACAGGATGTGGAAAGGAGTCTTCAATTTAGTGGATTGATTTTATGGCAGCAGCAATTTTTGGAATTAAAAGCTCCTGTGGCCCCACTAGTTTCCCCACAACAAAGGCACAGGTTTGAAGCTTTTAATTTTCAACAATCCATCATGGTGGCTGATGTCATTAGCCTTAAGATATCATAAATTACACTGTTGTATTTCAGCTATTATCTTTGAAACAAAACCGGTTATACTGTCAAAATATATTCCATGACCATTATTTGATTTCTCTCTCATTTTAAATCAAATAATTCTAAAATTATCAATAGTTTGTTAATGGAAATAGAATGATTTTTGCATCATGACCTAGCGTTATATTATAATTATAAATATAAACGTTTGCTAGGGAAAAGAGTTTTTTCTGATGAAGTCTGTCTTTTCATTATCATCTTAGGAATACAATTTAAAATATGTTGACTTAATAGAAGAGCAACTTAACGAAGCACTTACCACTTACCGCAAACCTGTAGATGGTGATAATTATGTTCGTCGGAGCAACCAAAGGTAAATTAGAACAATGGCTATGTACAATGCAATAGCTTTGTGCTTGGTTTTGAAACTGGCAATTCTGTGCAAACAGATGATTTTTCTTTCTACCAGATTACAGCGGCCACATGTCTATCTGCCAGTTCACCTTTATGGCCAACTGGTACACCACAAAACAGGCTGCCATTTGTTGGAAGCACAGGTGAGGACATTTAATATAGTTCTTTCAAATTAAGGTAAACATTTAAAGTATTACAGCCGTTTTACTAATTTACTTGGGTATTACTGCTTCACAGTTGTTTAATATATGCCATCTGATTGGGTGGTTTGCCTGCTTTTGCTTGTTAGAACCTATAAGAAAATCAAGACAGCAGGGCATCCAGGCATGCTTATTCTGTGAAACATGTCCCTGCCAAAATTGTCCAATTTGATTTTTTCCCCCTTCTTTAGATTCTTATATGTTCCCTGCCCTTTTTTAACTGATGGAAATTATTGTAAAGTTTATAGAGTTGACCTGCATGTCAAGGAAGACGTACTTCTGTTTCTTGCTGTATGGGTTGGATTATTAAACATTTATTTAGCTCAAAAATGTTTGGAAGCAGGTTATCTGAATTGGAACTTGGATTCTACCATGGGAATCCTCATGTGCTTTTACTTTCCCTTGTCCATATCACATAGGCTTTCATTCAACTACTCAGTCAAACATAAAAATCATAGGTCCACCTGTTGTAAACTCCATGGTATACTCTTAATTTGAGAATCAGCCTTTCCAAATGTATATTTTCCAAGTGGACTCTTCTCACAGTTGTAAGCTCTTAAGGCAGAATAATTTCTTCATATTAATGAAGCATAGGGCTCTAGTGAGGTACAGTGAGAAATTTCCAGCTCTATGATTCTGTGAGCTAGCAAAAAAAACTGGTTTATTATGAAACATGCAAGCTTAGAGCTCCTCTTACCTTGCTGTGATGCAGTTCACAGCTTGTTCATTTTTCAATTTTGAATTAAACTAAAGGAAGGCAAAACCCACTAACTTTTTCACTGTTTTAGCTATAAACTCTTGGTATATGGAGTTGTTCTGGACATCTTTTGATTTTACCAGTAATGACTTGTGATTTATACATTAATAGACTTAAGTAAATTATTATTTGTGAAACGTTACTTCTATTTTACTTCCCTGTTACAAAATGCATAGTCTGATTCTATTTTGCTTTTGAGTGGTTATCTAAGTTGCAATGGGAGTTTGATAGGTTATGACTCAGTCTGGTAAATTGAAACTGCTTTTTGTTTGCCCCTTTTTTTTCTTTAGAGCATTGTTCCTGACCTGAGTTACACTGTTCGTTCCCCCATGCTGGATAAATGGGAAGGGATTAAGCAATTGAAGGCTGCTCTCTGGGCACTGGTTAGTTCAAAAAATTCTGTTGTGTTTTCTTGTTTGTTTGTTTTTTAATATGTATAAATATAGAAAGGACGTGGTGGCACTGTGGGTTAAACCGTTTTTTTTTAATATGTATAAATATAGAAGGGATGTGGTGGCACTGTGGGTTAAACCACAGAAGTCTCTATGCTGCAAGGTCAGAAGACCAGCAGTCGTAAGATCAAATCCACGTGAGGGAGGGAGCACCCGTCGCTTGTCCCAGCTCCTGCCAACCTAGCAGTTTGAAAGCATGTAAAAAAACTGTCTATGGACAGAGTTAAAATATCAGGTCAAGGTAACGGCGTCCCATGTCTAGTCACGCTGCCATGTGACCACGGAAACTGTCTATGGACAGCCTTACTATCTCATTATCTGTTGCTGGCACCCAAAGGTTTTCTTCCAAAGGCATTGCTAGATTCTTTCTCTAAGAGAGTGAAGGAACATTTGGATCCAATTCACTTTGTAGATCAACAGTAATATGTATATATTAATATGTATATTAATCAAAATGGAATTAAAATATCAGGTATAAATGTATTGAAGTTTTAAATATATAGTGATTTATTGAAAGGTTGGGTGGGTAGATGGACTGTGGTATATTGATTTTATGTGCTGTCAAGTCACAACTAAAGCAACCCTAATAAGGCTTTCAAGGTACTGTATTTATTGAAAGGTTGGGTGAGTAGATGGACTGTGGTATATTGTTTTTATGTGCTGTCAAGTCACAACCAAAGCAACCCTAATAAGGCTTTCAAGGTAAGTGAGATACATAAGGGGAGATTTTACCAGTTCCACATGCCCAGTGACTTTCCATGTCAGAGCAGGGATTCTGAGTCTTATGTCTGTCACTCTATCCACTGCACCACACTGGATATCCCAGACTGTGTTAAGGTGTTGTTAAATAAATATTTAAATTAAGTGGCTAGAATTTATTTAATGTTTGGGTAAAGTCTGAATAACTTCCTGTGGCTTATTGTTGAGGTAACAAAGTGTGTGTTAGTTCCATGCCTGGTCGCATGTCCAATTGTACAACTGAGCTGCACCCTGGTATTCTGCCATATGGCCACAATTGGTGTTCGACAAGTTATACAAACCAGAAGTGGACACAAAAAAGTTTCTAGCCAATACGGAATCCACAATTATGTTATCTGTGGGACACTCAAAAATATGTAATAGACTCTTAAACAGAAACTTAAAAGAATTATCACTTCAATTGTTATTGTAGTGTTCATTATTTATTTATTTATTTGTTTATTTGTTTATTTATTTATTTATTTATTTATTTATTTATTTATTTATTTATTTATTTATTTAATATCTCGCCTATCTGGTGTTACGACCACTCTAGGCGGCTTCTAAATACATACATAAATAAAATGACATGTAAAATTTTAAAACCCTTTAAAACCCAATTAAAAACATGGATGTTTATTCAGGCCTTCCCTCCAGCCAACTCTTGATTTTTTCTTATTTTTCCTTTTTATTTTTACTGCTGTTCTTGTTTGATTATTATGTATTTGTCTATTTTTTATTATTTGATTTTATATTTGGAAGCCGCCTAGAGTGGTCCGGCGGGCCAGATAGGCGGGGTATAAATTAAATAAAATAAATAAATAAATAAATAAAATTATTAACATTAAGAAATTATTACGACAGATAACAGATTCTTCAAGATGGGAAAAAGAAGAAAAAAGAAAAAAATCGGATATTAGCTGCCTGCGTGAACATCCATGTTTTTAATTGTTTTTTAAAGATACCCAGCGAAGGTGTCTTATATAATAGCACATGTCATCACATCCATAAATTAATTTACATTTCAGGGCAATATTGGATCATCTAACTGGGGTCTGAATTTACTTCAAGAAGAAAATGTTATTCCTGACATCATGGCACTTGCCCAGCATTGTGAGGTCCTGTCTGTCAGAGGGTGAGTATAACTTGAAAACTGGATACTGTACTTTATAAAGTGTCTGCAAGTCCAAAGTCCAGTTAACTACTTGTACTGAAGGAAAGTAGGTCTATGAAGATGATACATGCGTGCACACATGTGTGTGCAGACACATACATACCTCATGCACATTCAGTTTCTGCTCCAGGAGGCTGAGAGACCATCTGGAGCAGAGTTTTGGGAGCTAGAAAAGGAGAATGTTTTGTGGGATTTCAGTGGGAAGCGACATGGCCTTGTTCTAGATCTGCTAAAAGGACTTCTTTTGTTTGTACAAGGAACGAACTGGATTTTATCCAAGATTGTTTGCTTTGTTTGCCTGGATCGTGAACATACGCTGTTTTTTATTCTGTAATTTCATTCTTCACAATTTGTTATTTTAGAAAGAGAAAGGTGTATCATAGTGGGTAGAGACTGAAAAAATACATCCTGTCTTTAATAATTAAAAACAAATAGAGATCAAATTATTAATTTTTTGATTGTACGCTAAGATCAAATCTCATGTTTTTACCTTCGCTTTATTACTTGCAAATTAACTTTCCACATACAAGTTTACTAATGTTTTTGTATCTTTATTGGTTCTGTACCTTCGCTGTCCATCTGGTGTGGTGTGTTTCCAATGACTATTGGACCTCCTTTTTCAAAATGAGTAAAACAAAAGTGTCATTTGTCAGGCAACAAAAAGATAAAAGACATTGTCAGGACATCAAGGTTTTGCTTATTTGACAGTTGTGACATTTGCTCCTCGTGGCCCCTACCACAGAGTACACAAAGGCAAACCAAACACCTTTTCACACGCTGCCACCAGTTATCACTAAATCAACATACTTTACTTAGGAAAGATGACGGTCCATTCAGTTTTCATTTTTTCTTAAAACAGGTTTATTAATTACAGATGTTTCTTTAATAATTCATAGTTCAGGTTCATCAAGCATCGATCTTCTATTTAAATCTCACAAGTTACTATTCGCTCCTCAGACTAATCACACCTCAGATCTCCCAACTCTTTCTCTCTCTCTAGCTCTGACTGAACTCTTGACTCCCCTTCTCCTCTCAGGCTCCGCCTTTTTAACATCTCTGGTGGCCCCAACTCTCAACCCCATCAGCATAGAACATGAATAATGCATGACTTATTTTGCATAACAAGGGGTGAATGCTACAACAGTAAATATAGAAAACATCTCTGTGATCTGTTCATAGAAGCAGAATTCTGTATTAGGCAAGACATTTATTGGATCATTAAAAAATTGCAAGTAAAGTAGCCCTTTGAGGTAGCAGAACTTTTTTGTGACCTAATAAAGATACAGCCTAATACAGAAGTTTGCTTGTGTGACAACAGCTAAAATTGTGTTGCTTAGTATAGTAAATCACACTGGAATAGGCTCATTAAATCACTAGGGATTTAGTAAGTCACCTCCTCCATAAGCTCCATGGATACAAATGGACCTATAGTGATGCCTCAACTTACGAATGTCCCGACTTGTGACCATTTTGAGTTATGACCAGCTCCGCCCACAAAATTTTGCTTCAACTTGTAACCGGAGCTTTGAGTTACGACCGGAAAAAAAGGGGGAATTCAAATGTACTACCTGTTGGTCGGCGAAGAGGCTGCTTCTTTGTAGCTCCTTTACCCCAACAGTTAGAGCGAGTGCGTTGGAGGAGGCTTCAAACTGCCTGGTGCTGCTTTATGCTTCTGAGTGAGTACATACAGGGTTTTGCAGGGTGGGTTTGGGCTGGGGGGGTTATGTTCCTCCCCCAGCCCCAGCACATTCCAATGGGGCTTGCATTGTCTTTGTGGGTTTTGGTGATATTTTTCCGGCTTCAGCGTGTTCTGATGGGGTTTGCTGTGTTCAGTTTTTTTGTGATTTCCCCCCCAGCCCCAGTGCGTTCCAATGGGGCTTGCGATATTGTATTTTTTGTGATTTTTTCCCTAGCCCCAGTGCGTTCTGATGGGGCTTTCTCTGTTTGGTTTTTGTTTTTTTTTTCCCAGCCCTGGCGTGTTCCAATGGGGCTTGCATTGTGTTTTTTTTTGGGGGGGGGTTGGTGATTTTTTTTTAACCTGCCCCAACACGTTCCGATGGGGCTTGCAATGGTTTGGGTTTTGGGGGTGTGTGTGATTTTTCCCCCCGGCTGGAATGGATTAATGGGTTTTCAATGCATTCCTATGGGAAATGGTGCTTCGACTTACGACCATCATTCCGGAACGGATTAAGTTCGTAAGTCGAGGCCCCACTGTACTTTCATTGGAACTTGCTAAGCCCATGTAAGTCACTTTTGGAGTAGGTCCATTTGACTCAGTGGAACTTGAGGAATTGACTCATCAAATCCCCATTTTTAGTAGTCTTCAAATTCCCATTTTTAGTAGTCTGATAGTAATTTTAAAACACACACACACACATATATGAATATGCCTTTTACACACACACACACACACACACACACACACACACACACACACACACACACTGTCCTGAATATAATACAATTTCTGTAATTCAGCTGCTACATTTCTGATTGTGTTCTGCACCTACTTTGAAGTAATGGACCTCATAGAGTTACAAGTGCTATGTAAGCCTGAATTCTGGTAAAGAGTCTTGCAGCACATAAACTCACTGTAATCTATAGGTTTACATTATAAACATGGCAAATAACTGATTTGCAGGGGGAGGAGGGATAGTGGATGGTATTTTCTGTAGCTTGGCTATACCTTGTTGCCTGTTGAACCAAAATATTTGTTAAACTTGGTTTCCTGTTTTGTAAATATAGGACATGTGTCTACGTGCTTGGCCTAATAGCCAAAACAAAACAAGGTTGTGACATTCTGAAACACCACAATTGGGATGCAGTGAGACACAGCCGTAGGCAGCCTTGGCCAGTAGTCCCTGATGACATGGAACAACTCTGCAATGAACTCTCCTCTATTCCTAGCACACTTAGTTTGAACTCTGAATCTACTGGTTCGAGGCATAACAGTGAAAGTGAATCTGCACCATCAAGTAAGTATGAACAACGGCATTAGTGCATTTAATGATCTTCTCTTCCTTAAAAAAGTAATAATTATGAATATGACCTTTTTGCAGAAGAGTGATTATTGTGCTCAGTTGTCACTTTTAACCAAGAATCCTGTCTTTTAAATTGACCATGTGAATGAACTGCATGCTGGTGTACTTACGTGTTCTACTGCTATTTTGCTCCTTCCTGCTCATGAGAGTGTGGTGTCCAAAGAAGGTGGGATTTCTAAACCAACAGGAGTCACAGTTTAGAGCTGGCTTATGAATCTTGATTGATTTGGCTGGAAAGATACATCCCAGATTCAGAGGTCAAGCTAAGATGTCAGTTCCTGATTTGTTTACCTAGTTGTGTGTGCACGGACAGACTGGAGCAAATGGACTGTTTGTACTACTGTTATTGGGTGGGCAAGTTCACCCTTTCAGATTCTCCTCTGAGTTCTACTAAAACCCTGAATTCCACCAACTGGAACAGCTGCAAAATAGCAGCTCAGGTGGATGGACATGCTTCTGAAGATTCAACCCATTAATTTGTAAACAGTGTCAGAACCAAACTCACATGTTCCTTCAAACAAAAATCCATTTCTGCTTCCCTCCAGCAAACTGGTTTATGGAAGCCAAAAACTTCATTATTGTAATGTGTCAAACATCTGCTGATTCTATAGGGAGCTACCAGTAGGTCTCAGTCTACCTTTCTCCCACTAGTATGCAGATAATTCACATGGTGGCTTAATAAGTCTGGATTTCTGCCATAAAGCTTTCAAAGAAGTTGCCGTGTTAGTCTGTGTAAGCATAACTGCTGGATAGCTCAGTGGTTTAGGCATCTGGCCGCAGAGCCAGGCGTTGGGAGTTTAATTCCCCACTGTGTCTCCTTGCCAGGGGCTAGACTCGATGATCCATAAAGTCCCTTCTAGCTCTGTAGTTCGAAGATGATGATAGTGGTAACCAGACAAAAACAAAATAAGAGACAAAAAAGGCACTTCTATATTTTAATTGTTGTCATATGCAGTCAAGTTGCATCAGCCTTATAGCATCCTAATAAAGTTTTCAAGACATGAGAGATACTTAAGGTGTGGCTTTGCCAGTGCTAATATGCATAATTTCCACAGCCAAGTGGGGACTTGAACCCAAGTCTTCTGAGTCCTAAGGCATCAGTTTACCCTGTACACCAATCCAGCTCTTTTGTGGGTGAAGTCCATTTTTTGAGAGTAAGAAGATATGACTGTCATGTTTTTTTGTACATGGTCATGTGAGGATACAAATAATGGACAGAGAAATAGAACTATTAGGTTCTGAATAATTTTGATATCAGTCTATGGGTCTTCAAAGTAACAATAGCATTATGAGAAAAGTGGAGAATTTCACACTAGGTAATACACATATTACCTAGTACTTAGATTCCTTTACTGATGAACAATTGACAACATGAAAGACAGGAGAGAAGCACAGTATAAGCTAAAATGTTTTTAGCTATGATCTGTTCAGGTACTGATTGAGGTGTTCCCCCAAACATCGTTATAGATATTGGAAATAGGGACTCACAAATTGAAATCTGTTATGTATTTCATAAAAAGTCATGCAGTTCATGCTTAGTGTGGGGTTTTGTCTTCCATTATGTAAACTGGAACTGGGAAAAGACAAGAATTGAAAAAGAATTGTTTGCAAAAGCAGAGCAGGGCTGTTATTGATAGGACATTTTGAGCATCACTTATTTGTAGGGTCAGTATAAATCAGAGGTGAACAAGAACAACCAAAGAATTTGGAAGGCTTGGAACCCACGCTCCCAGATTATGTCTGAGTTTGGCTTGGGAGAACTTTTCTGGAATCTCTAATTCGAACTCAGAAACAAAAAGTTAATTTTTTCTATTTACAAACATAGGAAGAGATTTTCTTCTCCAAAGGAAAGCTTTTCAAATTCAAAGACTTCATTATGTAGAAGACCAGCAAAGCCTACAGTGCTACAACTGCAAGATAAAATGATATTTCTAAGAGTATTATTTAGCTTTTCTGGAGTTTAAAGGCGAAACAAGATGTGATTCATGCAATTTAGTAGTTGTGTCCACAGTAGGATGGGGCACACAATCACAACCAAGATCCTAGTGTTGTCAAGGAATTTTAACCGATCCAGATCAAGTTCTTTACACTTGCAGTTTACCAGCCCATCCCACCCATCCCAAAAACTTATGCTATTGTGATGAATCATGTCTCATCTAGTTTGAGCCTGAAATACATGTTAAATGAAAGCAACATACAGTTGTAAAAATGGGATAGTTGCAGAGTAATATGTAATTTGGATTGCTGCAGATTATTACGTAATTTGTTCTGAAATATCACCAGAAGTAATTACTTTGTTAAAGTGAGACCTAGGATTATATTTTAAGAAGAAGAAATTGTCCCATACGGTGTTCATTTCTGAAAGAAATACAATGTGGCATGTAAAATGATGCTAGTTGATTTTGTGCCTCTGGACTGAAGTGTGTATCAGTTTCTAAAATTACATTAAGAAATGTACATATAGCTTGCTTTCACATATTGTGCAGTGAGTTAGATCCTTTGAAATCAACAAGCTTGTTGTTCTGGAGCAAATTGTATATTTTAGTACAGTTAGCTTTTGCTATTATTACAAGTTGAAAAATCAAAAACATTTCACTGGTATAATGATGTCTTCTATTTCCAGGCATGTTCATAATGGAAGATGACAGGGTTGGCAGTACCTCCACTAGCACATTTTTCCTAGATATCTCAGAAGATGCAGAACAGAGTCTCTGTGACCAAGCCGGATCCTTGAAGGATAAGGATCGCAATCCTTTCCCCTTTTTCTCTTCAAGCAGACTTGTGAAAAATCGCTTCTTAAATTCTCTTTCCTTACCTAATAAAAAGCATAGGAGTAGCAGTGATCCTAAAGGTGGTAAGCTGTCGACCTCAGAGAGTAAAATGGGTTTGAAACGAAATCGGACAGTAACTGAACCATCTACCAGCATGGACTTCAGGGGAGAGGACTTCACTCCAATATTCAGGGTGCCTAAAATTCAAACGTTGAGACCAGAAACGTCTTTTATTGGGAACAGGAACAGTGAATATGCGGATAACACCCCTAGTATTGGTGAAAACGACCTAAAGCTTCCAAAAGGTTTTGGCCACGAAAACCACAGGGAAAATACAAGCCGTGAGAGGCTAATTGGAGAAGTATCAACACAAACTAACTTCAAAAGCCGTAGTTTGAGTTTTAATACGGACACCACCACAAGTGGCATAAGTTCAATGAGTTCGAGCCCTTCACGGGAGACAGTGGGAGTAGATGCTACACATATAGACACAGATTGTGGGAGTTTAAGCACTGTAGTTAGCACCAAAACAGTAAAAACAATACAGTGTTCAGCCCCACAGTCTAACCATCTCCCTCTCTCGAAGTCAAATTCTGTCTCTCTGGTCCCGCCTGGATCCTCTCACACCCTTCCTCGAAGAGCACAATCGCTGAAAGCACCATCCCTTGCTACTATAAAAAGTCTGGCTGACTACAACTTTAGCTACACCAGTTCTCGAGATGCCTTTGGGTATGCAACACTCAAACGCTTGCAGCAGCAGAGAATGCATCCTTCATTGTCTCATTCAGAAGCCCTGGCTTCTCCCGCAAAGGATGTTCTCTTCACAGACACAATTACGATGAAGTCCGGTAGCCTGGATTCTCGACTAACACCAAACAGGTAAGGTTGTACTTTGTCAGTTCTTCTCCAGAACACCACTAAGATTTGTTCTTTTCAAAAGGAGAAATTCATCTCATGATTCCAGTTTAAAAGGTCAAGAAGCACTAGTCAGCCACTCAAGAGTAGAAGCAGAGAGCTTTATTGCCCTTCCTCCCAGCCTGTCACCCTCAGTATAGGAAGAAGGACCTTGAGAAGGAAAAGTTTTGCTTTGTGCGGAGACTCTGCACACAATTTGGAATCCTGAAAAGTCAGCATTCCCAATTGCATGGTAAAGCTCCACATGCAATAGCCTGTTTTCTGAGACTACCCTCCATCATGAGGAGACAGTTAAAGGTATGAGTGGGGCTACAACTCTCCCTGGTCACACTTTCAAGCTAGCTCTTTTTTGGAAGTCCAAATAGGGCTAAAGATGGGCCAAGAATATTGGGTGAGATGCAAGGAAGGGGCATGGTCGAGCATTGATGGCTTTGTTGAAGCAAAAGCAAACTGTGCTGCTTATACACCGCTCCCTAGTGCTGAAAGCACTCTCTGGGCAGTTTACAAATTAATTATGCAGGCTACA